GCTACTTTCACGTGTAGGGTTTGCTAACATGGTAACTGCTGCTGTTCATGAGCCACTAATTACCATGTAGTACATTTTGTATGTAATGGTCTCACTCAACTTGTTCAGTCGTTTGTGGTAGATGTACTTTTATCGCCATTTTACAGATGAAAAACAAAAGATGCTTAGAGGATTTAAGTTACTGTCCAAGGTCATACCTCTAGTAAATGGGACATCCAAGATGATGGCCCAGGACATTCTGAAGTGTCATGATAAACTTATGTGTGTGTATATTTAACTCTGAAGCACTCTAAATGAGATCAATATAAACCTTCTTAAAAAGACAAAGGCCCACACTATCCTTCTTCAACTAGCATTTTTCTATGCAGAGGATGATTCTAAGGGAAGAACTGCTTCTTTGGGATTATTTATTTTCTAGTGATATGAGGCAAAGGAATGATGGCATTTTAGTGTAGGTTGAAGCTTGAAGAAACTGGAAAACCTTTAGTAGTGTAATTCTTGTGACTTCAGAAAGAATGCATAATATTTGATTGATATATATGAAATTCTGTGTAAAACTGATAGCATTTGAATTGCCATCAGTTCTTTGACAGATTCTGGTCATTAATTTTACTTCTGTCTTAAACTACTTTGCAAGCAATGCTGAAAAGATGCAAATCCGGCTAAGAGATATCTGACCAATATGTGAAATTTGGGACAAGAAATGTTGAAAAGTAGAAGAAAGCTGAAGATATTTAATGTTCATGTTCTTGTAGTAACAAATCAAAACTAATGCAGCGTGTGTGTATGCTAAATAAATAATGAATCTTTACTTCCAGATACTCTTCATTTTTCTTTAGACGAAAGGAGATTTTTGTCATCCAGTAAGTTACTGTGGTGAGGGAGAGCTCTGCTGTGATTACTTTAATCTTGTCAGGTGGTGTGCTCTATATTTTAAAATACATATGAAGTGTTTTGTTGTTTAATGTGACTTTTTCCCCCAAAGCCAAAAAAACCCAAAATACTCTGACCTTTCTACTTACAAAGTGTCCTCTACAATAGTGCATGCTCTTGCCATGGTAAAGTTAACCTTAAGGAAATGCACAGTGTGAGTCACAATGTGCATGTCCTCAGAATTTGCTGTGTTCTTATCTTGTGTTAACTTTGATAGTGAAATAAGTTTTTACCTAGATTTCGCCACATGCTTCTTTCTTATTATTACCCTGACACAAGCATTGAGGTCTCTGTCCGACAGATGGAGTCGGGGTTCACACTTTACCACCTGCAGTAGCTGAAATGAGCTTGTGTAATGTGTAAGGACCAAGGTGATGACATTTTCCATTCTCTGACTCGGGCATACACACAGTGGCACATTTCATAGAATACTTACTTCTACCTGACCAATGGGCAGTCAACTGCAGATGCTTTTAGCACCCTCCTAATGCTCAGAAACGCCCTCTGTATCCCAGCATACAGATTGCTGTCTACATTCTCAGGGCAGCACAGCAAAATGCCAGCTTGACCAGGGAGCCAACAGTTGACTCACAGTTTCTTCAGGTAAAGGATATGAATGGAAGCAGAGAGTGAAAATGTATTTGACTTTAAAATCTCAAATCTGCTACAGAGGAGCCAGTCCCTCAAGAGCCGCAAGGCAGGTGGAGCCAAGACCCAACATTCTCATTGACCATGAACAGTACTCAGCATGATCAAAACAAAGGAAGCCAGGACTATTTCTACTCTGATCATACTTAGCATTTCGGAATCATACTTACCTTGTCTCACTTCTTATTAGCTAATTGCCAAGTTCCCACTGACAAGATTAAAATCATTTCATGAAGACACATTCTCCCCAAAGGACCTGCTTGATCAAATGCAAACATTTGTCCAAGACACCCCTGAGCTAAAGCTTTCAGTGATCTCATCACACATAAAATTTCCATTTCCAACTAGCACTCAAAGCTGACCTCTCGACATTCCAGACTCACACGAGTGGTCTTGCTGAACAACTCTACCACATGCTTTTCTTCGTCATCATTAAGTGGAATCCTTTTACTTTTTTCCTTTATGCCACTAGTACCTCAGAGAAAAATGCTTCCATTTTTTATAGAACCTCACTGTCCCTCCTCTTTCACCATTTTCTTCTCCTAGAGTCAATGAACAGTGCCCTGCTCAGAGCTCTGGCATTGATAGAGCGAAACTCCATAGTTGGGTCAACCAGAACCTGTACAGAACACCGCTTACCTCAATCACGTTAAAGTAGATGCCATCTTCTTCCAAATCTGGTTTTCCGAGGTTGCCCTCTAGCCCCAGACAGAGGACTCTATGCTGACCTTCAGGCTGGATGGACTTCCTTTTAGACGGTGGTGTCATCTGTCTCTTCATTAAGTCCACTCACCGAGAACCTCTGCCCATCTTTTCAGGCAACTGTCAGCCATCTCTTCGTCATCTCTACTGCTTCTGCCCTAGTGCCCCTGAGGTAGCTACGTTTATGCCCAGTTTTAATTTAAAATATGTGGTTGACAAAATAAAACAAGAATCTGTCCAGAATTTGTTTTCAAATGTGCTAACGTGGAGAGGCTTAGTAATCAGGAAAATTCACCTCCTGCCACCCTGAGAATCTCAGCTCAGCTCTTTGACTTCAGCAGGAATGTTGCTTTCCGTAAGTATGTATCTAAAAGTCCATTTCACCTTGTTTGAGCAATAAAAGTATCAGTTGGGCACCTTCAAGTGCCAGGCACTGGAAATAACCGTGATGAAAACGGAAGGGGCATTGCCTCTGAAGAGCTGCCCTTCAAAGAGCTAAGCTCCTTTAAACCTATTTGTCCTTCCAGATACAAGGAGACATGCGGAGAAAGTACTCAGATATCACCCAGTCATTGATTATTTTTCTAATTAAATAAGAACAATATTACGTTACTCACTCACTCAGGCGGCATGTTTCCCTCAGGACGAAGTGAAGTTTTAGAGCCAGCTGTAGACTAGTAGCCATTGGTTAGGATAATATTTTTCATTTATCCTGAGGACCACGGAAAAATTATTGGTGATCTGAAACAAGAAGAAAAGAAGGGTCAGAAAGGATTTTAAAGCCTGTAACAAATAAAAAACAATAGGAAAGAACAAATATTAAGACCCCTTTGAAAGCATTACAGTAAATGCTTTGGATAAGTAATAGAGTATCATTGTAGAAAACAGATGCAAATGTCAGAATAATTAATGGCTTGACATGTATAAACTAAAAACCTCACACTCAATATTTTACAAAACTTGAGAAGATTAATTAACATGTTTTACCAGAAAGATTCTTCAAAAATTTTTATTGGAATAGGACATACATGTTTGTGTGACAAATACGTATTTTTACATTAAGGCAATAAACTTCGAGGTCCTTTTCTTTTTAAGCTAATGTGGTTAACAGGTTCTTGATTGGCTCTGTGCCACTGGTAATGCTGATTTAGAGCTGCTCACCTATAGGCTGTCATCTCTGGCTCTATCTGGATGATATTTTAATTCCCAATAGATTTCAACTAATTGACCTTGAGGGAAAGTTGATTCTCTGTGACAATATGGTCTTCAATCACCACTGCCAACATAAATAAATGGTTCCTCTCCGGATCTATCAAGAGTAATCTGAGTGGAATTTAAGTTTTTGATAGACTTTTAAAAAATGAGCCCAGACATGAACTAATACCCCTTTCAACAAAACGGCATAGGATTTAAGCTAAGATTCATATAATAAAAAGTGTTTAGCCCTTTATATTGGAAAGTGGTCAGTTATTTTATTGAAATCTGGCCAGTTTCCCAGTTGATTTATAGACTAATGTAGTGAATATAATTTGATAGTGTCTATCAACTATTGTAAATAAATAACAGTACCATACCAGTCTAAAATAATCTCCATGTAACATTTTTAAAGTTTTTAAAAATATTAACACAAAGTTTTCTATTTGAGTCTCTCTGTCTCCACAGATCACTTGATTTCAAAACAGCACTGCTTCTGATACATGCAAATTTCTGTGAGGTTTTTTCCTATGCTGATCTAACCAAATAATTTTTCTTAAAGGATTTTAATTTCTTCATCAGTAACAAGTCGATGCATTTTCCTCATATTACATCCCACCTTCTTTTCTAATTACCTGCATAAATTGTCCAAATGACTACTTTTTTTCCTATTTACAAATGAAACCTTAAAACATCAAAGAAAAATAAAATTTAGACTGCAGCCAATACTTAAGGGAAAAAATCCACCCATACAATATGAGGCTAAGAATCAAGGCTTCAGACAACAAGAAAAAAAAACAAACTAATATTTAGTTGAAATAGGTAATTTATCCCAAAATGTCTCCTCCATTTAAGATATCCAGATAGGTGTTTTGATTTCAGTTCACACACAATTGTGAGGTAAGCATAGACTGGAAAGTTGCATAAAAATACTTCTAGAAGCCTTGTTTCTCACATTATGTAAATACAAATGTGAAGGACAGCTTATGTAAAGTGATTGGGTTTAGATACAGAGAATGACACCAAAAAAAAAT